GGGCACTGTACACCGCAGGGGAAGGTCTATGCTCCAAACACCTTGGAACCGAAACAGACAGAAAGGATGCACCGTTCTTGCTTCACAAGGAGGGAACTTACACAGAAGGATTAAGCAATTTGAATAAATTACTAAAAGACTAAGGCAGAGCCAGGGACTGAGCCTGTAACTCCAATCAGTAGACTGAAGCCTTATTACAAGGACATCCTTCCTCTTCTAATTTGCCTCTGGTTTTACTCGGATAACTTAATTAGCAGATAAAGCACAACCAGTTAAACCTTGATCATTTTGCCAGAAAATAAATTACATTTCTTCACTTTCTATACATAAAGGTATATATAGACTAATTTCCAGATTTTTGCTGATTTCAGTGAGACATTTCAAATTACCCCGGAAGATCTTAGTAAATGAAATCCTGTTTAGTTTAGATATTTAACTAATATCACAGCCAACCAGAAATCAACTTTAAAGGCTAAAGAATAAATGTCATGGTGAACTTTTTTTTTAATAGAGTATATAAAGACTAGACCCTCTTATAGTACATCAGATCACTATAATCACTGAGCAACTACACATAACATCCTTCCACTACCAGTTTAAAAACTAGCAAGCTTCTAATGTACACATGTATTCAACAAATATCTTATCAGCTTCTCATCCCAAGTGATGAACTAATTCCAAACATGTATTTTAATATCAAAATTTACAGGATTGGTGCTAATTCTTGAAGATTAGCATCTCTTTATCCTCTCTCAACATACAAGAAAGCACTCACCAGAATTCACTTTGGAAGTTATGTGCGTCACATCTATTTTCTTGGATTTGACCAAAGGCGAAGACCGCATAGAAGCACTTCGTACAGAGCTTTTTCTGTGATCAGAAGCTTTGCTTATTTTAGAAAGAGGTGCAAAGATACCTAGAGAGAAAATTGCATGTGCCAAAAAAGAACCAGGAGTAGTATTAGTGTAACAAAATTTTCTGGCTACTATCTTTTACATCAATTAATTTAGGGGTTTTTTTCAGCCACAATCATAGAATCATGGAACAGTTTGGGTTGGAAGGGACCTTGAAAGGTCAACTAGTCCAAACCCCCCTGCAATGAGCAGGGATATCTTCAACTAGATCAGGTTGCTCAGAGTCCCATCCAACCTGACCTTGAATGTTTCTGGGGACGGGTCATCTACCACCTCTCTGGGCAACCTGTGCCAGTGTTTCACCACCCTCAGGGTAAAAAATTTCTTCCTTATATCTAGTCTAAGTGTACCCTCTTGTAGTTTAAAACCATTACCCCTTGTCCCATCGTGGCTTGCTGTGGTGTCAAAGCACTTGTAGGCAAGGAAGAACTAGCTCAAATGAACAGTGAAACCAAAAGGTTGATCAAGCAACTTGAACAGAGTAATTCAGGGAGTCAGTAAAACTACTAGAATCTGCTTTTTGTCATAATGGTAACATTCAATCTCCACTGTTACAAAACACATGACTTTGTTCATCATGAGAGTCCGTGAAACAGCAATTAAAATACCTCAAGCTAGAAGCTAGAAAACAGCTATAGGTGTGAATCTTTTTAAAAGGAAGGCAACGCAGGTAAAGAAACATGGCCATTATTGTTGCAACACAAACAAATAGCTTCAACAATATAGCTGGAAAACCATGAAAGACTGTTGTCTTGCACTTTCACAGAAATAATCAGAAATTTTGACTGGTTGGTTGTTTCTGTGGTTTTGCAAATAGTTGTGGCCAAAACGCTAGGAACAGTTAAAAGAATCAATAAAATAAACAAAAAAAGACAAAAAAAAGATAAAAAGAAAAGCAACAGAATTTGTTATCTGTTTTTATTCTCCACAAAGGTTCCTATCTTCAAACACTTTTTTCAAAATTCAGGTTTAAAAAAAACGTAAGAAAAAAAATCGGAGGTTATACCGCGTTTCGGCGCACACTTGAAGTACTGGACTCTTCCAACACTTCCATTGTTCTTTCCTTCTGGTTCGTCCAGCTCTATGCCAGCCCACTGGCCACTGGCAAATTCTGTTGTGCCACAGAATCTTAATGTACCAACCTACAGCACAAAGCATCAACACAGAATGACTTTGTTAAACAAGTATTGCCCACGAGAACATAATATAGATTACGAAGGAGACAGCAAGTTATCTCCAAGCTTTTGATGAGAACAGAGAAACACAAACATAACAATCTCCCTTGATTATTGACACTCCTATCTTTCAAAGCCAGCCAATGCATTTTCCAAAACGTCTTAGTCCTTCTACGTGTATTTTGTATTAAAAAAAAAAGTACTGGTTATTGACAGATCTCGTAACAGGCATGAATGAGACAGTAATCACCTCCAAGTCAGAAAAGTACAGGAGTCTATGCCTAACAAAAAGTTTTACTATCAGTCTTCCACACCAATAGTTCAACAATCATGGCTAGATATCTCGCTGCATTGGAGATTCCATGGAAATACTAGATAAAAATATATCCCTGTATATACAAAAATATATATATATATATATATTGCAAAGGTTATAGGGTAAACTTCAGCGCATACTTAATTTTTTTTTTGGAAAAAAATCCTGAGTCTTTTATTCCCTCCTTACGATTAAACAAACTTTAAAAAGCTAGCAAATGTTAAAACATCTTTTTGCTGTTTCAATATATACTATGTAGACTCTGAACAGATAAGTATATCAAGACAAACCATCCTTGCTGGTGGACCTCAGTCTCCACAAATATACATTATAAGCTCACACACTTCAACCAAATGAGGGAGGAATAACTAACAGAGATGCACTTACTGATTTAAATTCATTTTTATATTTGATTTTTAAATTAGTTTTAGGAAGAAAAACCTTTGATCTTTCAGTTGCTCAGTTTTCATTATCTTATGTGACCATAATACTATTAGTTCACTTTTACTATGACTTTACTGTCTAATCCAGCCCTCAGAGAATAAACACAGAAACCATTTTTTTCCTTCCTATAAAACCTTCCAGCTACTCTTTGTTAATGTTCTGTAAAGAAACAAATGTGACCCAGAGCCTATTCTTGTACTCTGAAGATCTCCTGTAAATTTGATTGTAATAGGCAGGTACATCACACTAACCTAGACCTGGACTTCTTAGCTCCCAGCACAAAGATCGAACTCAGCCGGAGGAAGCTTGGCCAAGCAGCCTAACAGATTCCTCCACTCTCCCGGCACCAGCCAAAGGCACTTACCAAGCAGAGGGAAGGGACCGGCATCTTAAACTAGTGATGGCGATAGCAAAACTGAGGCTCCAGTGTTGCACAAGCCCTAGGACTTGGGCAGGCAAGGAGCAGAGGACATCTCGCACATTAGAAGCATAGCAGGAACAGGAGAAAAGTTTTCTTCCAGCTACTGGTTTCCCTGCACTCACATTTCATTAAGTGTCCATTCAGATAACATATAATCTAGCAGAGCACGAGCTGGTGAAGCTGGGGGACAACAAATCATGTAGATAAAAACAGCTGCTTACACAGCTTTCTGCCCTTTGAGACAACTAGAGTGACAGGTGCAGTAGGAATCAAGAGAGGAATCCATTTTCCCTCAGGCATCTACTGTCCTTGGCTTTCAAGCTTCATTAAAGCTGATATGTTAGGAGACTGCAGAAGCAGGAAAGAGAACAGGAATACATAAACATTGCTCGTAAAAATGCTGCCATTCCAGTACCCTCATCCCAGCTTCCATATTCCGGAAATGAGAACGGATCCAAGAAGACATTAAGAACTGGGCATCGTTTTCATCATCCTGTTCTCGCTTTTGCTCCACCCTGCACACTTTTACGAGTATCAAGGGAAAGGGGAAGAGAGGGCTGAGATCAACTCCTCCATTCAGACAAATGGAGAAAGTGGGTGGGAAACAATATGGGAGTAACGCAGAACAGGTCCTCGCACACAAAGAAAGGAAGGGAGGAAAGCAGACGTGGAAAAGGAAGACCAAAAAGTACAAACACATTTTTCCTTCCCACCTGCTGTATGACAGCTTTGGCTCCCTTCAAAAAGGCTAGCTGGAAATCCCAGCCAGCCTTTGGCAGCAGAAAACCAGCTTCCAACAACTTCTAAAAAACCACTGTAATAGCATACTCAATTTAAAAAAAAAAAAAAAGTAACCAAACCCAGGAAGCTTTATCCATACACAATAAGCACACTACAGTACAAGCAGTTCTATGTGCCTTACTCGGAGCAAAGATACACAAGAGGACTAATTTCTTCCCTTACTTGCTATAAAGCCTCCATTAACTTGCAGTTACATTATCTCCTCTCGCTTTCGCTGTGCAATGGCTTTCCGTAAAAGAAACTTCCATGAACTTTTCACTGTCTTTAAAGAATAAGCAACTTCCTGTACGTACTTCAGTTAAAATGCCTTCTGCATAGCTACTGATTCCTTCACTTTTCCTGACCCAATTTCAAGAATACATCACACGAACATACAGCATGGAAGCTGCTTTGCTCACTTGGCGGAGTTCACTTTAGAACATTTCAGTTGTGATGATTACAAATCTGAAGTTATACTAGAAAAATTATTAAAGGTAAAGCTACTCAAAATTGTGCTCACAAATACCTTTAATATTTACCAGAAAAATATTTGAAATCTTTAAAAGAGTTCTAGCACTATTAAATTATTTCAGAGCCCTTGCTGTCAGAGGAAATAAAAGGTATGAATACTAACTGCAATATCAATGTTACATTTTTCAAATGCATTTTTCAAAACGCGTCTAGCAAGACAGTTTCGTAACAGCTATTCACATTTGAGCTGGAACAGTATTAGCTACATTCTTATGCTTCCGCAGAACCATGTTAACAACCCCGTTGGCACAGCACTGCTCCAAAGATTTTAGCTGCATTGCACCAGTGAAATTGGGTTACTATAGGCTGAGCAGAATTAAAGTTTTCTTTTACCGCCTTCTGGAAGCTATCGGGGTAATTCACAAATGCATACTCATAACTGAAAGCTGGGCAACTCACAAAGTAATCTGTAAATTTTACCATCATTTTGATGTGACACCAGAAATGTTAATAAAAGCTGAGCCATGCTGATGTATTACAGGAGACTGTAAAAAAATTGTTTACAGGTACAAAATGCAGACTGTGCCTGTCAAAACAGCTTTTCATAGTCATGACTTTAACACTTAACTGTTCAGCTTATTACTTTCTGTAACCAGATCCTTACTGCCATCCAGAGTTCACACCTTCTGGAAAGTATTTCAGACCCTCAAATATGTCTCCAAAGGGGTAAATAAATTAACTGTCCAGAAATTATGAGGGTAGTATCAGGTTGCTCATCATACCTTCTGTCCTGCAATAACAACACGATCTCCCAGCTTCAGGCCAAGCGATAAAAGCATGGCCTTGCCTGTGATGTGATCATAGTTTGGAATCATGGCTTTTGAGATGTCACATGAGAGAGGCACTGCATCCAGCAATATCTGCTTGATTTCTTTTGCACTAGCTGCTGCATCTGCCATTTCCAGTGGCATATCTACCGGATCGGGAACCACATCTGCTGGAATCTGCCCTTTGTCATTCTGCAGAAACATAACAAGGCACAGGATTTAATGTTGTGACAAGATAAACCTGATCAGGTGAAACCATAGCAGTTTATGAAGTTTTTAATCCTCTTCATTAGATATTTTTCCTAGAATATAAACAACTATAAAAACATCCACATTTTCAAATAAGGATGCCAAAACATCCTTAGGTATGTAAACTAGCATTTACAGTGTCTTATTTTCAAAAGTGCTAAGATTGAAAATTTTGGTAACTTAAGAACATTACTAGTACTCAGAACACACGAAAGAAACACCTGTAGGTACCTGTGTACCTGAACACATATTTAGGGAAGTAAGCAAGAATTTTTCTCTGTAATGCCAATACTGTAAAGCTAACACCTCCCAAAGAATTTATCTTTACCCAGTGTATAGTTTACTCCTTGATGAGGCTTATTCCAAATGTAAGATAGAGTTTAATTAATATATGTTGCATGTATAGGATACACAAAGTTGATGTCTCACATAAATACTTGAATAAAACTGTTCAGGTTTATTTAGATACAGACTGTTCCATGAAATATGAATTAAGGACAGAGCACTTTCCAAGCACTTCCCATTCCCAGAGAGCAGTGACTGTGATTCACCGTATGTCCCACATGACACCCACCCTAGGCCAGAGCTGTTGGAGTACCAGCTCACCTGGAGTTAACCTTAACTCAAGGCCAGTTGGCCAGACAGCAAGTACACGGTTGGGTTGTCAAGCTGCTACAATGGCAAGTCCTACCTACGCTTTCTTCAGCAAAGGCATTACTATGGATCTTCACCTATCTGCCAATTTTCACAAAGCTCGTGGAAATACAATTATCTCAGTCTTCCAACTTCGTCTCAACCAAGCCTCTGGACTCAGAAACTAAGGGAAGCTCAAAGAGGGAATGGCGCAGAGAAAAACTGCAATATCAATTGCAGAAACCAACATCACACACACACCTCATATTTCCTTTGTTTCCAGAAACCAACATCACACACACACCTCAAAAAACCACTAAAAAACACCAAAACCAAGCAAAACCCAAGATTTGCGACTAGACACATATAGCAGCATTTTACACTATAACTCAGGCCTATTACTTCGTTAGCAAGCAGAGCAGTTAATGTTTCATTACCAGTTACTTATGTTAAGACTAAGTTTACTGCTAAGCAATAAGCTGCATTTCTGGAGGTCACAGACTGCACTCCTGTATTTCTGAAAAGGTCCACCACTGCCATGACAACTGTTGCAAGACACAAAGGAGTATTAAATGAAAGTTCAAGCAACAAATAGAAGAACATCTTGAAAGCTACTTGAACTAATGAACTAAAATGTGACACAAAAACACAAACTTCAACACACAAGTATGACAAAGCATACAAAATCATCCATTACAAGTTATAAATAATTTTTCTGAGGCACAATCATTCCATGTAACACATTTTTAGCTAACCAAAATCCTAGATAGACTGTTCAATTTTTCCAGGCACTTTTTTCACCTAACTACTTACCCTAAAAGCAGGATTTGCTCCATGTTCCAGTAAGCACTTGACAGCTCCTGTACATAGGTTAAATGCAGCAATATGCAAAGCTGTTCCAAAATCAAAATCACTACAGGTGGCATCCACATCTGCAATTAAAAATCACATATGAGGTACGTAAGTCTCTTACGTGAACATTTCACCCTTCAGATTCCTTGAGAGGACATTCATTTTTACAGTTTATGTTAACATTTATACAGAGACACTATTATTTATGTTCTAAATGCATATAAGAAGTAATTGTACACAGAATTTCAACCTTATCTCCATCTGTTTGTTCCTACCATGAACCAATCTGGAAGATGAGCATTTACCTTCATTCATTGTATAATACTGATGACTTAATTGCAAAATTGTTGCTATTCAGGATGTCCAATCTACTGTGCTAAGATTAACAAGTTAGTAACTTTCAGTTTGCGTGTAAATCAATGTTTCAGAAATATGTATATTTTATTGCTTCCAGGTGTCAAATGTTAAAATGAGATGCATCTTCAACCAGTTGTTTTCCTTTGTGAGCAGGTAGCGGGGCAAGAGAAAACTGATTATACCTCTGCTTTACATTGTTTTAATTACTAATGGCCAGGAACAAAGTAAGAGCTAGTGATTTTTACAATTTCTTTGTTTCAAAGAATTGCGGTCTGAAGGGTCTTGCACTGATAGTTTGGAAAATGGAGCACTGCATTTGACTAGAAGAGATTTAGCATAATGTATCTTTCTGTCAATTGTTCCCAATATATCTTTCAATCTGCTATTAAGTTATTACTGTTCTAGAAGACTGCAGTTTTAATGTATATTTATTCTTTCACTACTGTTCTGAACTATACAAGAGAGACGTCAGTTTGAGTCAATTATGTATATGACTGTTAATTAAAAATGCCAGCTGATTTAATACACAAACCAAAAGCCAACAAGTATTAGCAATAATGTTCCTATTTGAAATACTGGTGAGGAACATAAAACTTTCCACCTCAGGGCTGTACAGTCTCCTAGTATTTTCCAGTGTTGGTCTCTGTCCCAAAAACCACTAACCCTTCTCACAATGTGATAAACAAAGTATATCCCAGCTGGATCAACACCTTTATATAGTTATACTAAGCTAATATTTTGGGGGCAAATAAAACATCAACATATATAGAAGATACATAAATACTTATGTCTGTATAGACGTTAACTTTATATATACTAATAAAGATTTACTCTGAATTTTATAAAGATCAAAGATAACAAATTCAGGATCAAACTGTAATGTTTTTACAATTTCACTAATATGAATACAAGCTTTACTATTTTAAATTTAATTGGCATGAGCATGAAAGAAGACTGCATTCACCTGATGCAATCATAACGACAGCTATGTATGCAGATGTACCTTTTATATATCAAATGTCAAAAGACTATTACCAGTTTAAAACTAAGTAGACGCTGTGTAGTTGTATACAACCATTGAAACTTCCATGTTTAACAAGGCTATCAAGTATTTTCTGCACACATAGGAACCAATTTGCAGAAATACTGATCAGTAACGTCAGCTACTGAGTCAGCAACAGTTGTGTGTACAAGAGATATTTTGCCACATTTTAAAAAGTCAACAGTTGTGTGTACAAGAGAGATATTTTGCCACATTTTAAAAAGTAACTGATGTGTAGATTATTTTTTTTTTTTTAGACTAGTTTGACTTCCTCAGACTTGCAAGCTTCATGCTTAGTTTTTAAACACTGTTTCTTACAGGTTTGTTCTAAGTCTAATTTGGCACAGTACAGGTGACAAAAAGAAACCCATATATATCAAACGTTACCCAGTGACTACCCTCAAACTATCTAGGGAAAATTAATATGCAGCAATGGTTTGTCATTAGCAACCCATGCAGGTTACAGTCATTGTCTAATGGCACCACACAACATTTCTAATTCTTAAGCCTTTAACAATTAGTATATTTAAAACCTCTAATAATCCAAGATCAAACTAGTTCTCTGTTCCAACAATTGAGGAGTAAATCTGTATACTGAATTTAACTGCAGAGCGTCATAAAGGAAATAGTTTAGCAGTAAATCAAAAGGAAACATCTGTGGTACTGGCTGTTTCACAATGGGTGTCTCAGAGTCAGTATACCACTGTCTTGAAAAGTTATTTATACATTAACAACCATTTTTTCCACCAGTTTAGTATAGATCTGTCCAAGGCATATTTGCCTTCTACGTACATCCTCCCTTCTCCGCAAACTGCCTGATGAAGTATGGAGCTAACATTATTCTTTCAATTAAATCAGACGATCCATGGTTTTCATGTCACAGGGCAAATCATTTTACACATTTTCTAAGAAAAAAAAAAAAAAATCATCTGCTTATCAGAGAGTTGCCAATTGCCAAGGCATTTAACCAGAGTGGTTTCCTTGGAAATCTGTGCAAATTCCCACCCCTTCCATAGGCACTGCACAGGAGGAGATGAGAACACCAAATGCAAATGAGGTCTGAAAGAAGACCTAATCTGCTGATGCAAATTATGGAGATCAGACTATTGAAATGTGATGTGGACTGAACTACTGTGAAGTCTTATTTTGTCTTCTGTTAGCAACCTACACTTGTTACCTCTTAAGCATGTCATACCAATAAAAACGCTGCGTAATAATTACCTCCATGATAATTCAAGACGCAGTAAGCAAGCCTTGTGTACTCCAAAAACCTATCAGCTTTGCAGAATTTTGGGACAGAGGCTTTAGCTACAACTAGCTAAAAAAGGACATCAATAATTTTGCAAAATGGCACAATCAGAAGGATATTCAGTAGAACAAATTAACATTCATACAATCTTAGTATTAAAATTGCTTACTGGTTTTGATATCCTGAACAAATTAGGAACAAATGGTTCTGGTTCAGACCCACTTCTGTGTTTCCATTTGCATTACTGTAAATAGGGCTCCAATTACCAATCCTTCATATTATCATTCCAAAAGGCATTATCTATTTATGCCAAACACTAAAGTCAAAATGTTCCTTACATGACCTTTTAGACAGCCGGTAAGTGGGAAAAATGAGCACGTCAAAGTTGCTTTGGTCACTAGTTTGCCACATGCCATTGCCAAATCCCCACTTCTGTTACCCTTCTAGCATTTCAAACGAGCTTCTCAATGTTTAAGGTATCTTTAAAACCCTAGGAATTTACTAGAATAGTTACATCTTTACTTTTCTGCGTACATTCTCTTAGTCCTCAACAACTTAGAATTAACCTGTTTGCTTTCCATTCTATTAAGATACTTCTCTACCATCTTGTACAAAGCTCAAGTTTAAAAAACAGCAATGGAACGTTAAACCACCAAAAAAAAATAGTTTAAGAGAAAAAATAACCAATGAGGCTGACTAGAAGAATAAGAAATTATTTATGTATAATGGATAAATAAACCCCACACTTAAAGACTACTACACACCAGCTTAGGGTCAACAGAATAACAAAATTCAGACAACTACATAAAACAAAAGTAACAATGCCTACCTTTCGGCTTTGCATTTCTCAAAATAACACTAATAAGTTCTGGAACATCAAAGTAGGCAGCATAATGCAAGGCATTCATATTTGTCCAGCGGCTGCGTAAACTGCTATCGGCACCCAAATCAAGAAGCTGCGTCGCAAATTTTACAGCAGTTTCAACATCACCTGCAAGGTAATTTTTGTGAATAAGCACTAGAGATTTATTTGACCTCAAAAAACACATACATGCTTATGTGTAACACATAACATATGTTGAACCCTTAAAGCTCACAGCTGAACAATTATTAGGCCTTTCTTTTTAGGATTAGAATGTAGAAATTTGTGCCTTTTCATAAAGGGCTGAAATCTCTACTATAGTATATAATAACACTACCTATTTATCTCTAATGTAAATAACGTAATGTGTCACCCATCAAAACCAGGAATTTTAGTATCTGACAGAAGGAAAAAAAAAAAAAAATTACACCCCCCAATGCTGAAGTTTATGTTAAAAGATCTGAAACACTAGCCTATGCCAGACCCCACTCAGAAACTTAGTTCAAACTTAAAGGAGAACTAGGTTCAGGTCAACAAAAACCGTAGCAAAACATAGAAAAGCTAATAGGGGTGTTCAAACAGAGTTAAATATGCTCTTATTTCCAGTACTTATGATCATAATAATGCAAACACAGATTATTGTTTTCTTCTGACATGATCAGGGTGAAAGAAAAAAAAAAAAGAACAGCCAATCACCTAAATGTTCTACTTTCACTGATGTGAGAAAACTGTCAATAGATTAGTTCACAGTTTGTACCTTAGTCTGAAACAGCCTTTGCTGTTGAAATATGTTAAATATCTTCATGCTGACACCATTGTTTGCAATACCTATACCACTAACTCAACTTACTCCCAACTGCCACAGCCATAACTGCGCTACAGTTCTGCATCTTCCTTTCCGATGGCCACTACAAGAGCCAAAACCAAGCACTAAAAAAAAAAAAAATCTACTGCAGGGAAAAAAACTGTAATAGATGGTGGGATTAGCCTTTGTGAATTAATTAGGTTTTTACATCTATAATGACGTTTCTTTACTCACCAATACCATGAGCCCCTGATTTGCAAGTGTAATGCAAGAGAGTCATATCAGTCAGTCCATCTCTGTCATTCACATTGCAACCCCTTTTAATGATCTGAGAGACAAGTGGAAAACAAACACATTTTAGCCCTGGCAAATCTCTGATGTCAGTATCATTTAGTAAGTTATTTCAGATATGTTGACTCCTGGATTCATTTCAATGGCTAATAACAAAGAAGTCTGCCAGAACAGACGGTAACTGCAGAACTGAGCAACATGCACAAATGTAATAGCGTTCTGTGAATACCATTAACCTTCATTGTTTACAGACTTTAAAGCTTCTGTATATTGTTACTTTTAACATACATTTCACATGCTGAAAGTTAACTGCTTAACTGAACAACAGGAAAACAACATCCTTTATGAAGTCTCTGCCCTTGTTCTTTGGTCTCTCAACAATTCCTCCTCTCCCCCCCCCGCCCAAGAAAAGCCCCAGTTATACTACAGTAGGAAGAATCTTTGCTTCCCCACCTGTCTAGAAAAGCCTGCCATGCAGAAAAAGAAAATAAGAAAGTAGGACAGAATTACTAGAAACAGGGTGTCTTCTGAAAGCAGCCTGTTGAAGGCTGCCAAGAGATTTTAGTCCCTAACTCATTTTGTGCCTTGCAGACGTTGCCCTTAAGGTCAGGCTTCACTGTAACTTCATATATTGGAGTTTACGATTTCTGCTAAGCAGGAAACTGAAACACCGAGGTGAAGGGTCTCTGAACAACTGCTTTGAGAAGAAACATCGTTTCTACCATCAATCCAAATATGTACTGAATTTTTATCCATCATCTTTCTCTTTCCAAATGAAAGCTGACAACGTATGGAATACAAGCCACTGATCACTAACTACTCCTTAAAAGGCAGAAACTGTAGCTGCATTTATGATTAGTTCTGCTTCTGAGTTAACTGCTTTTATTTGTTGTCAACACAGTAGTTCTTTGACACTCAAAGTATTCAAGGATCTTCATTTATACCTCACCTCATTCCCAATAATATCAATATTCTGCTGGACCTGTGGAACCCACTGCCTTAAGATAGCAAACAATTCAGAAACTGATGTTTTGGGGTCGAAAAGTATTTCTTGGCATGCTGCATCATTGGGATCGAAGAAGGAAAATTCTGTTAAAAAAAGGAATCATTAGGCACAAGTGTAAGTTTTAACATGCATCTAGTTTTTCAAACTCAGAGGCAAAGTATAGCAGAGAGAGTCACTTCACTACTAATCACACTAGAAAAATCAGAATGTTGAATTAATTTAGAAAGTTTTCTTTAATGTCTGGTCTATTTTTCCTTTAATACTAAGGTCTTGCTTCTATTTCTGAACAAGCGTTGAATCAGCAACCAATACAATGCTACTGCAAGACCAATTTTAAGTTTAGGCAACGACTAACAGAGTTGTGCTGTGATTATGCTAATACGGGTTT